TCTTTGAACTTCTCCTTGTCCCATCGGTCTGTCTGGGTGGCGTTTTGCAGGTTCTCCAATTCCAAATTGGACATGGAGTGTTGGCAAGCTGCGCAACAGGCAATGCAACAAGCACACAGCATGAAAAGAAGCCAGCCACCAATCACTACGACCCCAAAAAGGATCAGGACGCCAAAGAAAATGTCGTCAACAATGAAAAAGTCGAGATCCACGACATTCTCCATCCGAAGCTCCTGAAGTTCCTCCAACAATGAGGCATTGAAACCAACGCCCGCTTCAACGAAGCTGTGAAAGCCTTGACGAACCATGAGTCTCGCAGATATTACAGCAATCTTCTAACCTTCGGCAGAGCCAACAAAGGCAGCTGAGACAAGGGTTGTCACTACCAATGGGCAGGTTTCGCAGCCAAGATTCTCAAGGAAAATGTATGATAATGTATGTTGTTATCAAGACCGCAGTCGCAGGTGTCCCAAGTTTTTGTGCTATTTCGCAACATCAGTGGGTACATCATGGCTGGGTGGCCGGCCCTTTGCTTCAAATCAACAGCATGTGAAGCGATGCCGAACACTGCTTTCCGAAATACGTGCCACATCTACACGGTGCAGAAAAGCTTCACAAAGCGGAGGCTTTCATACACAGCGCGCTCGAAGAAAACACTTTTGCTGCGACTTGTGAGTTCTGCCGAATTCTGCTGCACGTTCTTTGTGGAGCATGGCAGCTGCCTCCACGGAGCTTTCGACTGCCCACCGGAAGGTAGGGACTGACTTCAAGAGTTAGAAAGAGCATGAAAGAGCTAACTTCAAAAGCAACTCTTTTCCAGCCGCCTTCGGTACAACACAGGGTGCCAAAAGAGTTACAGTATATAAATCAAGAAGTTTTTATTTTCAAGAGCCTTGGTTGACATGTACACATCTGAAGAATGTGTATATATATATATATATACACGTCTGATGTATAAAACTCTGTTGCAAGGTGTTTTTTTCCTGAATGTCTTGTTGCATGGTTTGCTGTTTGGGGTATATTTTTGGGAGGCTAGGAAACTAGAAAGGTTTGAAGCAGGGATGTAATTTATATATTTACAGTGTGCCTTTTTGGATGTCTGTTTGCACAACTTGCTATTTGGGGTACTTCTTTGGGAGATTAGGAAGATAGAACGCACAAAGCCAAGACCAAGTGGAGCATCCAGGTATAATTAACTCTGGAGTTGATTCTTGGCAGAACAACTGCAAAGAAAGTATACCTAAGGAATCTACTACTGTATGAACAAAACAAATGAAAAAAATTGACTCTGGAGTTAATTCTTAGAACTGCCAGCAGACCCAAACGAAAGAACTGAATCAAGAGTTGATTCGTCTAAAACTCTGAAAAACACACCTTTTGCCACCGGAAGACTCCCAGAAAGTAAGCTGTTCAATCCAAGAAAGCAAGCTTTCGGTCTTTCGGTGGCTTCAGATCGCAAAGTGGCCGGTTCGGAGTAGTAGGGCGGACAGGAAGCTCTGCTTACTAGCAAGCGAGCGAGCGCGCAAAGTGTTTGATGTGCGCTGGGCGCCGTGCCCCGTGTTCCCTAACGTTTTTGAGGGTCATGAGCAAGGAAACGTGTGCAAAGAAAGCACAATATGCAATGGATGCCGAGCTCTCTGTGGGCAAGCGAATCACAACTCCACGCAAGGATGGTGCTCGACTTGCGCTCCCTCTTTTGAAACCCACCAGCAAGCCCGCTGGCAGGTGTTTCAAGGTCATTCATGTGTGTATGGTACTTTCTGGAGAGTGGGCGCTTGATGTGCCAGCTGCCAGTGTTCCATGCAGGCTTAGGTGCTGTTGCCGTGTTCAACTATGCTGTGTTATGCTTTGAATGTGTGCTCAAGTTTGGCACAAGCCAGCACGCGTGCGATTGTCGAAGTATAAGGTTGCAAGGGCGTTGTCAATCGAAACTTTGTGTGTAGTATATATATATATAACTGTGTCATTTTATTGCACTCTTGCAATGTTGGAAAATCAACTTGAATCATCTTGAATCCAGCGCAAGCAGTGCCTTGTCACCAAGTCGTTCAAAGGCTTCAGCCAAGCCTCGATGTGTTTGCGCACTCTCTTGCCTCAAAGAATTCAGGTTGCCAATGTGGAAGGATCGGGAATTGATTTCAGTAACAGCAATATCCATGTTCTCACCGCGTAAATGTGTCAACTGTAATCTTCTTGCTGTGTCACGATACTGATTTGGAGCATCACATGAAACATGAACCTGGGTCAAACTCTGGTCCTCAAGGAAAACCTGCGAGTCCTACAATTTAGGATGGTGGATGATGGTGGTGTATTGGTGTATGTCAACCATTCTTCAAGAATTTGCATAATCAATTACTTTTTTGTTGCCCAAATGCCAGGACACAATGAAGCCACTGCTTGAAAGGCTTCAAGAGCCACGCTCGCATCACCAGACTGACCGCACACACTCTCTTCCACGTGTACTAGATACCACAACTTGCACCATACATGGAAGACTTGAACCAATTGATCTTTGGATTGGATTTTGGGGTGAAAGCACGCTCAAAATGGCCACGCCTTCAGTTGTTCTGTTGCTAGCTTTGGTAGCAAGGCGCGTGGATCTTGGAGCAACGCTTTGGCCTCTTCCATTCGCCCTTGGAGAGTGAGCCGAGCACCTCGCTGGTCTTGCTTTTGAAGAGTGGAGAGTGAAGCACAGAAGTCTTATACAGTCCCAAAAACCTCCAAAACCAAACTTAAACAAAGGGTGGGAAACGAGATTCGCCTACGGGCCTACCACAGCCAAAGCTTCTCGCCACTTTCGTGCACCAGGATCCAAGGGCTCAGAATTCGGAGCCAGGGCGGTTTTCAAACCTTCCGAGTTTCGACAGAATGGCCTCCAACCTAAAAGCGATGGCCTTACAACCCAAGAGCAGGCGAAAAAGGCAGAGCTGACCGCAGCTGACCCAGCCTTGCTGGAAGTGATGCATTGACCTCTCATCTGTGGCCGGTAGCTGCCAAGTGCTCAGCAAAAATTCCTCTTCACTGTTGCTCGGGCCTGCCATGCAGCAGTATGGACCTCACAATCCTTACAGAGTGTCATTTCACTTGATAGCAAAAAATACAACACGTGCCTTCTGTGTACGCCACCCACAAACAGCTCAGAAGCTCTCTCCCAGCTCCAAAAGTTTCTGGAGCTTCCCGGCAAGGAGCTAAGCCCGGAATCCGGACTAAATCCAGGTCGAGATTGCAAGATCTCTGCCGGAAAAGCTTGCTCCAACAGCGAGATGCTTGGTACAAAGATCCACGAAGGCTAGGAAGGGGCAACGAGTCCTTTGAGCAGGAGGATACAATTCTTTCAGGCAGCTTGGCACGCTGGAGCTTTGTGGGCTTTGCTCCCGTGGCCTCGAGTGGTGGGTTCGTCGGCTCCTTTCCGACCAGCTTTGCCAGCTTTCGGAGCACGGATCCCAGACGCAAATGTGCCACACTCTCCGGTGCGCCGGTGGGTGCACGCAGCGCACTCTCATACATCGTCGCTGCTTCTGCCAGTCTGCTGCTGTTCCCCCTAGCTTGTGACTCCAGGAATGCCCCAAAAATCACCATGGCCATGCCTTGGGTACTCGATGGCAGGGTGCAGAGTCGCCGAAAATGTTCCTCTGCACTCTGAACATCCACATCTTGCAGCATCACAGCAAGGTTCAATCGGACCTTGGGCGCATCGGCAACATCATCTAATTGCTGCCTCTCCGCCAAGAGCAATGCCTTCTTGTAGTGCTCAATTGCAAGTGATTTTGATCCAGTGGCCAATTTTAGTTGCCCAAGCGTGGCGTGGGCATGCCAGTATCCTGCATTCAATTTGATTGCCGCTTCAGCGTGCCAGATTGCCTCCTCCAAGTTTCCACCACTATTCTGCAGCCTTGTAGCTAAAAGATCATGTAGTTTTTCGTTGCGCGGGTTAGCTGTGAGAGCGGAACGGTAGAGACTCTCTCCTGTCCACCAAACTTTGCTGTGTTCAAGGCATGTCCTCGACCAAACAAAAAGCACCAACAGCAAAGCCACGCCAACCACGCCTTGCCGATGGCCTTGCCAATGGCCTTGCGAATGGCCTTGGCGGCCTAGTTGAAGGAGGAACCGCGCCAGAATTGCCGAGGAACCAATCGACGGAATGTAGAGCACACGCTCGGCGACCGTGAACCCCACCGTGAAAAGCAGGTTTGAGACCGGCAAAAGTGACATTAAAAGCCAAAGACTGGAAATCAATATGCCACGGTGGACTCCTTTTGCTGCACCATGTTCTCCTGGCAAAACGAGAATGGATCCACACGTATCCACACTCTTTTCCAAGGTGTGATCAGTTTACCACACTTTATGTTTGACTCTATACGGTACCCTGTTTGTCTTAGTTATGCCAAGCCTCTGCTAAGTTTGAAGAGACACCACGGGAGTCCATAGATCACCCACAAAGGTATCATTGCACGCAAGTCCCTTGCACTTGCCAGTGAGGCTATAGACATGTAGCTCCAATCGCAGCATAACGGCCATGGCCAAATCAACAAGCGCAAATGCCTGACTGACCAATGATGCGCTTACAGGAACTACCTACCACATGCTCAGTTGCCAATGCTCCGTTTCTCATCATCTTTTCCCAAACAGGTTGTTTGGAGCTAAGGGGTTCGTACCGTCGTACAGTCAACGTAAAGCAGGTTTCCTGGCCAGGGTTCGCGTATGTTGATCCTCTGTTTTCCTTCACGTAAAGAATTGTCTTCCCACTCGTTGCATGGCGATTCTTCTTGGCACGTGCAGTACTTTGGTGGGCCACGTTTCGCAACTGCGCTCTCGTGGTGGCGGTCACTTTTTGTGACCAGTGCAAGGGAATCCTTATTCTTGGTTGTCTCAAGTTGAATTTTCGTGGCAGTCGGAGGGGATCGGAGCTGTTTTACTTGGTGGTGGTCTCTGCCGAGCTGAGATTTCGTGACACTCGCTGTGAACAAACATTGGACTTGTGGCTCGTTTCTCAAATTTGGGCTCTCGCCCGAAAGCGCTTTGGTCTCTCAGAGTTGTCTTCGGAAGTGCCGCTGTTGCAAAACGCACTGGCACGGCCGTGCAAAACCTGCAACTGCAGATTTATGCATGGCACTCTGATCTCGCTAATCTGAATATTTCGTGGTAGGCGCAGCACTTTTGCTGGTCTTTCGTGTGTATGTGTGTTTTCATGTGTGTTTTCTTATTTGTGTATGTGTTCTCATGCACGTGCTCTCATATGTCACTCTCATGTCATATGTGTGCTCTCATGCATGTGCTCTCACATGTGTTTGTGCCCTCACGCGTGTTGTAGCAGCTGTTAGCTCTCAAATTTATGCTCTTCTTGGAGGGAGTCTCGTGCGAATATCTCTTCTCAGACATAGCCGGTGCATCTCCTGGCTCAGAACTGGCCACTTGGAAGTACAAATGTAGTACGCGGAATAGTTTCTGCGAGGTCACTTTCAGAACTGGCGATTTTGTAGTCCAACTGTAGTGTTGGGAGTAGCTTCTGGATCTAGGGCTTCAGAACTGGTGACTTCGTAGTACAAGTGTAGTAAGCACGCCAAGTGCAAGGACCTAACGGCTCAGAATACAAATGTTACTTCAGTTTCCCTCAATTTGTCCGGCGGGCCTGAACAAGTAGTAGTGAAGAGTCAAGACTCTGGTGATGGGGTCTGCTGCGAAGGCACCAGGGTTTGCCTCTGGGTGAATAAACGGACGAGCCTGCATCAGGGAGTCCAATGAAGCTGCAAGACCGTTTCTTGACACAGCTGAGGTAGAAGTTGCTTCACAGCGCCACGAGCTGCAGAATCCCTAAATTATCATGTCATTGACTCATGTCATGCCATTTCATATCATATAACATTTTATCATATGATTTCATTGTGTAATATTGTGTATATGTATGTGTATATATATATATATATATTGCAGGGTGCGATCTAACTCGGGATGTTCATTGTTTCTTCGGGACTCGTTCCATCCTGGGGGCTCACTGTTCGCTGCTATTTGATTATTTGCAGCATGTTGGGCTCCACATCCGCAGCCAATGTCAGCAGTTGGGGATCACATTTCCCTGCTTGACAGGAGTTGGGGTGTCCTGTCTTGACTTTCTGTTGGTTTTTACAACGTTTTGGGCATCACATCATCACACCCTCTACATCCACAGCTAGCGGTGCAGTGCAGCGTGGTCGACATTTAAAGAAACGGCGCAGCAATTGGAAGAGATTTCATGGCGCTGGAATCCTGGAACGGAGTTGGGGGGAAGGCGCGCCTCCCCCTCGGGGTGAACCAAAAAGAAAAAATAAAGGCAACATAGCAAAAGCAAGAAAAACATTTAAAAAGATACAAAAGACAAAAGAAACAAATGCAAAAGCACCCACCAAAGGCAAAAACTCTACAAAATCAAAGAAGCAGCAAACGCAAAAGCAACAAAAGCAAATCTGAAAATATATATATATATATTGTGAAACGTGCAGTTCGCCGGCCGTTCAATGCTCGACCATGTGGCACCAGTCCATGAGGTGCGTGGGAGAGGTGACTTGAGACCAAGGAAAAGGACCGGTGTTTGGACAGGGTTCCATAGGTGCAGGGGTGGTGTTCGATAGGTTCACCTAGGCATATTCGCATTGGTAGCGGAGCCCCCAAAACATAGGGGGCAGGTTTTTTACTTTGCATCACGGGGCGTGATTTGCAAGCCATGGGTGGGGGCAAAGGTGGAGCCTCCAGTGCAGCGGCCGATGGTGGCGTGGGAGAAGGGAAATCTTCCTTTGCTACCAGTCAACTGCCTTGGAACCAAATCCCCAGTTTTACTGCGGGAGAGTCGGACTTGGAGGACTATGCCCAGAAGCTGATGTTCCTACACTCGATCTGGCCAGAGGAGTACATTTCACATCATTTCACATTTGGCCCCGAGGGCCGCTTTACAGTGTGATTCAGTGTCATTCAAGAAGGTGTCCAAGATCGATCCAAGCCGACTCAAATCCAAGGATGGTTGTGAAGAGATCCTCAAGGCATTGGGGATGCAGTGGGGACGGTTCCAAAATGAGGACCGCTACGTGAAGTTCGAACGAGCCTTGTTCCTGACTACCCAGAAGCCAGATGAAAGCAACGACAGTTACATAGCACGCCATGAGGCCTGCTTTGAGGAGATCCTCCAAAAGGACAAGGGAGTCACCCTGGAAGAGATAAGGGCCTATGTGATGATCAGACACTCCCAGCTCACAGGTGATGAGAAGAAGAAGATCATCGTGGATAACAAAGGGGAGTTGACCTATGAGGCCACTCGCAATTCCATGAGACTTCTGGGATCCAAGTTCTTCCAAGACCTTCAGGGTGGAGGTGGGAAGAAATACAAAACCTACGATGTGCACACCGTGAATGAGTCAGAACCTGTTTTCGCCGCCATTGATGAAGTGGTGGATGAGGAACAGGCCTTCCAGGTGATGTTGGAGCAGGGCGATGAGGATGCCATCTTCATCCAGGAGTTCGAAGACCAGATCATTGAAGCAGTACAAGAGTCAGGGGACCTTTCCAGCTGCTTCATGAGCTACCAGGATGCACGAGCACGTCTTCGAGAACGTGCCCGGCATCGAGGCTTTTGGCCATCACGAGCTCCAGGCAAAGGAAAGGGCTTCAATGGTGGTGGAAAGAAGGGAGGAAAAGGTAGTGGTGGCTACCCTCCACGACGGACACTGGCTGAGCGAATCGCCAACTCGACGTGTCGAATCTGCAACAAGCCAGGCCATTGGAAGAGGGAATGTCCACAGCGACAAGATCGACCAGACCGACAAGTTGACATGGCCACCATGGCTGAGGAGATGTCCGAGCAGAATCCACCTGAGCTCCCAGAAGACCTGCCGTTCGAGATCCAGGAACCTATTGAGAACCATTTTGTGCAACATTTTCCTTGTTATGCTCAAGATAGGGGGAGTGATGACTTGGTGAAACCGGTAATAGATGGTGAAGCTTTTCGTGAGGAGTGTTTTGTTAGCTTAGAAGAGTTGGGGTTTCGAGAGAAGTTGACCAGAGCACTCAATCATTCGGCAAGGCATCACGATGAATGTTCAGTGCGACGACCAGCCGGGACGCATGAAGCGACAAGCTTGAGCCAGTCTTTCTCCGTTCATCAGACCTCTCACGTTTCGGCCAAAGACGGCCATGAAGAATCGAGTGAAGAGGCGATTTTAGATACCGGAGCAAGCCGAACGATCATAGGTAGTGAAAGGGTCCCCCAGTTAGAAAGGGCTTTGAAGGGCATTGAGATTCAGCGTGGTCCATCACGGTGCGTTTTCCGCTTCGGTAACAGTGGTTTGCTCCATAGTGAAGAGGCACTGTTCTTGAAACGACATGGAAAAGGCTGGCTCCGCGTTGAGATCGTGCCCGGAAGCACTCCATT